TTTTCAAAAGATGCTCAGCGGCGTGGTAGCCCGCGGAGCTGTTAGCGCCAGTCAACAGGACTGTGCGCGTCATTCTATGGTGTGGTCCAGATAGATGATTAGGTCAGTATGAAGAGAAATGAAATTCAAGATTGGAGGGGATATCCCTCGTAGAGTCGGCAAGTAAAAATATCAAGCACTACTCACGGGCGATGAGCGAGCGTCCTGTGTGGACGGGTGACAGTACGCGATAAATCCTTGTCAAATTTGACACCCCTTACTTGAGCCACCAACCAACATTAGCTAGTCGTCTCGTGATCTGTAAGGAGATATCTCATTCGGTAAGGCGGTTCCGTATATGTTGGAGGTCAGGAATGTTAGTATGTTCTTGATATAAATCCTGAAGCTTAAGGCCCAAACGGAATTAAACAACAGAAAGGTATTTTGAAGCTTTTAGAAATAAGAGTCTTTTAGAACCCATCAAAAGGCCTTGAACTTAGTACAGCATACCACCTCACATTGAAACTGGCAGCTTCCAACCGTACTCGATCATACGATATATTGCCAATAATACTGTGAACATTTACTTGGAGTTGTCACTAAAATCAGTACCAATCAATACTACGTACTGCACTTCTCGGATTATCATGTCCTTAGTACCAGGAACCATCACCCCGTCCTCTCAGCCCCCAAGAAGACCTGCATCCCATTAGACATCAATCAATGTAAGACACATCACCTCTTTCCCTTATCCGACTCACTGCCAGCTTCGTAACCGGAATCGTAACCGCCGCCAGCTTGGGTCGTATTTGCTTTGCCTCCCGATGTGGTCGGGGCACCTCCGCCGGAGGAGTCGCTAAGGGAGGCGCCGCCGCCTGAAGAGTCGCTCGAAGACATCTTTTGCTGTTCAAGAGTAGAAATACTAGGGTCTGACTGTTTTAGGCTCTATTAAAGAAACAATTAAGGTAAAAGGGAAGACTTGGAATTTTAAAAAGGCAGATATTTATACGCATTCCCATCGTGCTCAGAATCAAGCATCACTGCTCAGTCTGATTCACTGTAACGAATCCTGAGTAACAGAGTTTTCATCTTATAATTTTCTCATGGTATGACATCTCACTGTTAGATTGTGGTCGATGACAGAATCTCACTGCGCATGACTGCATCGCTGCCCAGGCTCATCAGCGCAAGAAGCGGAAAACACAGTGGCTTTCTACCGAATCAATCGCAAACCGCGTCTCATGCTCATCAAATTTTGTAGGTCTCCGCTTGACTTCAACTCGAGTCTCGATACAGTGATACATATTTGTCTCTGCTTCAATGCGGTCCATAGTAGTTGAACAGCCTTACCAACCTGTCTTTCAACACTTCACAACCACGCCACGATCAACACCTTCGCAACTCAATTCGATCACACAGATAACCTTTCTTACAACTGGCCCTCAATCAAACTCAAACCCGAACTCCCAGTTACACACACAATCCCCCAAACCTCCAATTACCATCCCCACACTCCAACACTCCAACACTACACCACTAAACCCCGGCCACCCGGCACAAGGCAAAGGAACGGACCGCGAACCACGCCCTCGCCGCAATAGCGGGTCCCGGCGGCCTGTTGCCTGGAGGCCTCTTCCCTGTCCCCTCTCACTCACCTCACTCGTTTCTTTACACTTCCTTAGTTTCAATTGACAATTGACTACTTGACTCGAGAGAGGTTCATGCAGACACCCGAGTTACTTCATTGCATTTTCGTTTAATGTTTATTGTTAGCGTGGTCAATTGTCTTACCAACTACAGTATACACCGAGTCAAGGCAATCTTGTCTTGGCACTAGGCAACTCGACCTCTAACTGACTTCCAGGTTCAACTCTAAAGCCTGAGTTCGAGTTCAGTCTAACAACAGCCTCACCGAAACCAACTAGCAAACTCAAATCTCGCCCTTACATCCCGGGCAAAAACAACATGTCCGACCCCCGCCAACACCACAAGCGCCCAGCCAACGACAATCAGCACACATCCCACGTCCCAAACCCGGCATACACCTACCCCGAGCTCCAGCACATCCGTCCCGCCTCACGCCGCATTTCCAACCCCCAAACTCACCCTCGCCCGCGTCACCATATAGCCCAGTCATCATGGAGCTGCTCATTATCCCACCCAATCTTCCCCGAACCCATAATCTCACTCTCCTCTCTCGCACAGCTCGACCCCTTATACCCAACCCCCCAGGACCCCTCAACATGTTACGACCTCACTCCCCCAAGCCCCATCAAGCCCCTTTCCCTCCCACCCACCAATCTCATCAGCAACGAGACCTGGCCCGCATTACCACACGACATCTGCCCGCCAAGCCCAGGAACCTCAGACTCAACAACAAGCTCCCGCTCCTCATCAACCGTTTCCCACGCACCATCCGCAGACTGGTCGCCGGTACAAACAGAAGTACCCTCGGACTTCTGCCCTGCGCAGCCATCACGGGGACCCAGTCCCTTGCGCCGGTCCTGGGGTTCCACCACTTCTACCTCATCTGCCAATCCCCAGGAACTCACAACCAAGTCCTCGTCAGAAACCCTAAGGCCGCCCCCGGGAGCCAAATCAACACCCCACATTTGTCTCTGGGGGATAAACGGCATCTGCCCTACATCCGGTTTCCTGACACGCGAGGAGTTGAACAGACATGTGAAGATGGAGCATTTACTCGAGTGTCCCGTCATCAGCTGCACAGAGACCGTGTTCCAGAACAGAGAGCATCTTGACTGCCACATGCGTTGGGACCATGGTGTTGGTGTGGCGAATAATGAGGAGGCTTGTCGGAGTAGCGATCTCATTGATGTTCCCGAGGAGAAGAAAGAGAGTGGTGTTGAGGAGGTTAAGGTGCTGGTTACACCTCGTATTGAGCAGGTAGACAAGGGTGAAGACAGGCGACCTTTGAATGTGCTGCCCGGGGCATTGGTGGGTGATAAGGTACTGAAGATGGAGTTATCGATCGGTATCGCGAAGAAGCGGTGTCGCGAACAACTTAGAACTGTCTTAGAAAGGAGGTACAGGCGTGCAAATGGTAAGGCATCATCATCCGGTAGACTCTAGCCGGTCTAACGGAGTAACAGGGGGTCACAGCCCGAGCGCACAATCAGGTCGCGCACCAAGACTGCTCGACACGGTTACTTTCCCCGTGTTGTGGGAGCATGGGATTCTGCCCTTCTTGATAGAGTTCATGCCGAGATGGTGTGGTCCAGAACACGTGATAAGTGTGACTCGGGGCCGGAAGCCGAATGCAAGGCGGATATGCATCATGACAAGACGGGTCGTAACCAAGGCGCGGCGAATGGTGATTGCGGGTCATGTCAGAGATCTTCTGCCTGAGAATTACCGAAACAACATCACGTTCGTATTCTCCACGGGGCAAGTCGATCGGCTCGTGTGGGCGCGTGGCCTTAGTAAGGACATGCCAGATGAAGTATGTCCTCCCAGAAACCCATTCGCATACATCAGTCCTTGTATGGGGGACAGTATCGGTGCTTCCCTCGATGACGGCGAAGAAGCCACAGCGACGTTGGGGCCATGCATCACCGCAGAAGGGGGCAGTTACTGGCTTGCCTGTTTTCACCCCTTTATCAGCAGCACGCGGCGGACATCACCGGTCATGATTGAACATCCGTCCCCACAGGACAGAGTAACATGTACGCAAGAGCGGCACGACGTACTCGGAACGGACAGCGAATCCTTCCGTATCGGAAAGCTGACCGCAACCTCGGGATACAATCTGAAGACCACGCGTATCTCGCATGATCCTTATTGGGAGGAATGCGACAAAGAGCAACCCCTGGTCGTGACGGATTGGATCCTCATCTCAGCCGGCACCAAACAAGCCAACATCCTCCGAAAGTTACCGACAGTAACACCCCGACGCGAGACGCCTATAACGACAACTGCTCCCGTAACACCCGGCGCAAACGTGATCTCAACAGGCCGCACCTCGGGGGTGCAGCGTGGTCAAGTTTGCGAGATCCCTGCATACGTCACAGGCGCGGAGAACGGAACAGGGAAAGCGACACGAGAATGGTACATCGAAGAGCCGTTTCCATACGACAATGAAAACGAATGGATTCGCGGGGGTATCGGCGTTGAAGGGGACAGCGGTGCAGCTATCGTCGACAGCGACACGAACACACTGATAGGCCAGCTCTGGGGAAGAAATCGGTATCATGGACCAGGTCCAAGGCGGACGTACTTCACACCCATCATTGACATATTCGATGACATACAGGAGAAATCGGGTCTGGGCACTCGACCACAACTGCCGCAGTACCGTGGTGAGGCCGACCGGTGGCCCACGTATCCTATTTGCAGGCAGTGCTTCGACATGCGAGAGTATTTGGATAGTAGGCGCTCGTCGAGGGAGTCATGTGAGTACCATCAAGGACTGATTTCTTCTCCTTTATCCCTTGAAAAGCATTGACCGCAAACTGAGGAATGAGCACTGACCAAATACCAAGTAATGTCCATGATTGGCGCCCACGATATACAGGCCGACAGAGACAATGACCTCACTTCGGTATCGGATCTGGCTACACCGCGTGACCACCCACCGTTAGCGCGCCAGGTGGAAGTAAACGAAGCAGGCTCATCATTTGGACCTAGTAGTGCTATTTCTCCAAGCCCTTTGTTTTCATATTACCCTGCCCCATCCCCAGGGGCATCAGATTTTCGAAGTCCCTATGCACCAGCTTTGCTGGATGATGATTTGTACGAAACGAAGTGCCCCGAATCAAACGAGCTTGGTCTAGGGAAAAGGCCAGCTCTTGTTCCGCCGTCAGGTCAAGACAGAATACACCAGATAAAGAGACGGAGGGAAATGTAGACACTGGAGTTCAAAGGCAGAGATGGATCGTTTCCCTACCCCATATCACGGCTGAACCCCACATTGCGCAAACATAGAATTCACAGTCCGAAGGTCCTCATAGAATGAACGTATATGATGTGTGCTGCCGACGTGCACTGTCAACAAACAGTTACTGGGGCGTGTAGCGCAGAGGTAGAGCATCCGCTTTGCGTGCAGATAAGCATCAAATTGCGGAAGGTCTTGGGTTCGAGCCCCAACTCGTCCAACTTTTTCTTTTTCTTCTCTTTGCACATTTCTAAGTTGGAATCATCCTGGGAACCCTCCTCGGCTCATTTTCTTGGCTCGTTGATCACGGCGGTTGTGATTTGCTCTTGACCCCTTATTAGCTTCCTTGCGCTGTCTTGCATGCTCCGTGTCTTTGTCGCTGGCGGCACCTGCCACATTGCCACCACGACTGCCACCCCGCCCTCGGCCTCGTCCGCGCCCGCGTCCACGTGAAGCACCTCGCTGGTCGGCAGCAGAGTCTTCCTGGTCCGAGCCAGCCGGGCCAGCACGCCACGCGGTGGGCGCCAGCTCCCTTTGCTTGCCACTGAAAGCATACTTCGCTTCGAGAGCTCTCATGGAGTTGGGTGTTCTGGCAAGCATTACAGCCCATCCTTCTATGGCCTCATCCGTCATACCGGTCGCCTCCTTCAGATTTATCCTAGCTTTACTCCGGCGCGTTGTAGCATCTCTTTCAAATATATTGGGGTTAGCTTGATACGCTCTGAACAGAGTTTCCTCGCTGGCGTCTATCTTCTTTTGGTCATTCGCATCTTCTGGATGACCGTCGTTGACAACAAAGCCTGAATCAACCGCATCATAGGTGTCATCGCGTTCATCGTCATCCGCATCAAAGGCAGACAGGGCAGATAAAATGGCGGCTTTGTTGGGGGCAGTCGACCGGTCCTGCAGTATGTCAGCTGCAGTTCGGCCAGGGTTGCGCTTCCCGAAGTGAAGGTTTGACGCGTCGATCGCCAAACGGTCAAACTCATCGTCATCAAAGACGTTGTGCCGGGTGGGTATCTGAGGTGGTGTTGAGCGAGGCGCAATGTCGTGGCTTTTCCTTCTCGTCCGTTCGGGAGATCTAGTAATTATCAGCAAGAGCCTACATAGTATAGAACAAGATGACCGTACAGCTCTTTGGTACGATCTGCGGACGCCAAGTGAGGCGGTAATGAATCTTCAAGCAGATGCGAAATGACTTGCTCGGTGTTGTTGTTATACTCATCAAGAAGTTTAGAAATGAATGCCGATCCCAGATCTGGGAAAAGATCTTGGATCTGCGAAATTTGACTCATTTGATGAACATGCATCTCTCCCATAACATCATCGGAATCTTGAGTCATGATTCCTTTGCCTTTGTCAGCCTTACGCTTGACGAGGCGTTTGGGTCTGACATTGCCACCAGGCCTGCGGTATCCTTCAAGCGCCGTGATGACAGGTTTTATCCGCACAACACCAGTCGAGGATTGCTCAAGACGGGTCTGTGTCTGCTTCAATATGGGGGTTGCAGTGACGAGCTCGGCAACCATAGAGTCGTTTGCATTGAGTGGCCCTGCTCTGTGAGTGTCTGCGGCGGTCTTGAGAGAATAGAAGATATCGGTCAGCATGGAGTGTTTCGGGGAATCGCCTTCGGTCAAACCGACGAGACAAAGATAGGTGGTAGTGATGATCGCCTTCCGTAAAGGGGGATTCATAATCTTGAAGCAACTGATGAGTCCATCAAGGAAGTCGCTGCCAGCTAGGAAGAACGCAGCGACACGAGGTGATGCATGGATGAGATGATGTAGTCTTTTCAAGCGCGACTCCAAAACCTTAACATCACCTTTCATTCCGGCGTCAAGGAATATGACGAGCGATTTCTTCAAAGCCTGTAAAGAAGTCTCAGCTTCTGGCTTTTGACAAATGGCATCAACAAGTATTGCTGCTCTCTTCTTTCCGTACACCTTGCTGAAATCGGACAGGAATTCCCATGTGAGCAGTGCAGGCGGTGGTGATGGCAGCCGCAACAGTCTTGACGACAGTAGGTAGCTTTGGCGAATGAGTAAGGCGGCCGTCTTGGATGTCCCCAGGATTGACATGGAAGAAGCTGCGGTCTCGCGGGTCAAAGAGATCTGGAACTGCGAGATAGATTCATCGTTCTTCAGGTGGTTGATCAGCTCTGCTTCTGATAGTGACAGATAGGCCTCAGCCAAGGCAAGCCAGGTTGACAGGCATGCCTCCCATTCAACAGGTACAATGTGGTCGCGCCATGGAGCCTCGGGAAAGGGCGCAAACGGAGGCAGAGTGGGCGTCATGATTGGAGCGAGAGGGCGGATGGAGAGGCGAGAGTACGGGTGATGAAAGGATCGGTAAAGGAGAAGAGGTGCAGAATGGCAGCTGCTACATGCTAATTTGTGAGCTTCAGCTCATAGTCTGCTGTCTCTTGTAGACAAAGCTGCAGGAGGTGGGCAGCATGAGATATGGCGGATCCGAGTTGGCCAGCATCATCATGAGCCATACTTTTGATGCAAGTCTCCACCGGCTCTTGCCGTATGACTGCGACACTCCCTAGCTGTGAGCTACAGTGCCCCGCCATCCCTTAGGTAGGTAAGGTAAGACCCGATGACTCCAGGGGCACTTTCCAGCCGGGGAGAGCCTCAAGAGGTGCACGGTCCGTTTCTTCGCCAGTCTCTTAGACTCTCAGCGCCCGTCGCCATCTTAACGCCCACCAGCCCTTATCTTATCGCCCGCCTCCACAATCCCATCGCAAAAGGTGAAATTCGACCACGTCTGCCCCGCCAAGCCCAAGTTTTCTCTCCTCTGCAGCTTCGCGACAAAATCATCACCAGCTCCAGCCTTCATCACGTTACCGAAACGAATCACACGTTCGAGGTACAATCCCCCTAACTGCTCTGAACCGATTGCGATATTGAAAAAGAGACTGACAATTGTGCGCAGTCGTGAAGGCACCTCATCAACCACCCACTCCACCACCACCAATCCTCCGGTCTGCAAACCACCAAAGCCATCATCATGTCTTACAACAAGGACAAGGACTTCGGCGAGGCGCCCAAGACCCACAAGATCCGCATCACCTTAACCTGTATGCTCGCCCCTTCTTTCTCATCTCCCACCTCGAAACGATCACACCACGAACTAACAACTGTCTTCCAGCCCGCAAGGTCCAGTCCCTCGAGAAGGTCTCGCAGGAGCTCATCGACCGCGCCAAGTCCAAGGACCTCAAGGTCAAGGGCCCCGTCCGCCTGCCCACCAAGGTCCTCAAGGTCACCACCCGTAAGACCCCTTGCGGTGAGGGTTCCAAGACCTGGGACTGCTACGAGATGCGCATCCACAAGCGCCTGATCGACCTCAACGCCCCGACCGAGATTGTCAAGCAGATCATTGTCAACATCGAGGCCGGTGTCGAGGTCGAGGTCACCATCGCTGCCTAAGTGGTGAGCAGAAGGGACAGAGAAGGATGTGGAGATGGGAAGATGAGGAGACAGGCCAGTCTCAGCGCAAGTGTCCTCACAGGATGGTTGTGTCGGGCTTGGCTTGTTGACCTTGTGGAATATGAAAATCAATGTCCGGAAAAACACCTGTTCGCCGTCGCTTTGCTGCGACGAGGTCGCGACGATGGTGAGCTAGCGACGATCCATACCCAAAAATTCAAACCACGTCCAAGCCAATATTGGTCTATGCAAGTGAACCATGGAAAAGGTGCATGCAAAGGTTGTGACCGCCTTTGTAAAGGCATATCGCCCGCAGCTGTGACATGAGTGGCAAGCCGTGCTCTACCTGGGTGCAATCGTCCGTAAAACCGCTCCTCAGCAACATGATTACATTCTGCTAGTACCGAATACTTGAATCTGTTGAAACATCTTGAACATGGTGTCTCCTGCCTGCACAGATCCGGATCGGCCGTGGATGTTGTGCCCCCGCGTTGGTTGTGCCACAACAGCTTCAGATGCAGGGTAGGCTGTGTCGCACGGGGAGGCATGATGGTAAGGTAATGTGATAACTGCCAGGGCGTATCTTGAACGGATGAGATACAAGTTCTACACGAGTTCAGACTTCACATCTGAGACAAAAATGTTGCTCTACAGCAGCACTTATAGTATGTGTTTTGAACTTTACATTGGTTTACACATAGTCGTTTCCCATGCTGCCTCACGGATATCAAGTGTGCTCTCATCATCGACCCATACGATGATAGATAATAATGCTCAAGATAGTCTAAGCACCGAGACTTAGATGAATTGGCGGTACCAATTGGTGCCTCAATTTAGCGACGATTCCAACGTACAGACGACTTAAGCTCCAAGAGCCTCGTGCAGGTCGTGCGGTTATTCCATGTGTGTGGGTGGGCATCGATGTGATTCAGGTTGGTGCAAGTCTTACCAGCGACGGGAAGTGAAATGCAGGGTAGTTAGGTACATGTAGGCAGGGTCCACTGATGCTGCCCGGGTACGTACCCGAGGCACCTGCCTGAAAACAGGGCTGGTTACGGCAAGTGGACCCGACTGAATCGACGCTAGTAGCTGCGCGACTGCCTGCAATCAGAAATGGTCCAGTCGCCAAAGCTCTCGAATTCTTTGGGTCCCTACAACAACTGATCAATTCCCAGTCCCAACACTCCCACTCCGGCATCGCCATTCTGGTTCTTGTGCTCATATACCATCTGCCTACCTCTCCCCCGTCTCTCCATCTTGACCTTGAGGGCGTCAACCTGTCCTGCTGTCGGGACCTCATCCCCCGGCAGATGGATTGGTACTGATATTTGTTGTTTTTTCCTCTCTTCGCGAGAACACGCATCACTAACTGCAGACGTCACTGGCAGTGCCTAGCAAGCCAGGAAACTGGCGCATTGGACAGCCGCACATCGAATGTTGGCTGGGACGCGTCTCCTCGATCCACCACGTTCCCCAAGTCTAGGAATCAATTGAGAGCCTCAAGGTTGGCCACACAACGGAGGAGCCGAGCGTCATGGCGCCTCCGTGCAAATTCTTCCAGTGGGGTACCTGTCGCAATGGAGGTAAAAGAATGACTCCATTCCGGCACGCAAAATCAAGCTCCTTGTCACTGACACTCTTCCGCCAGCCGAGTGCAGATTCGACCATTCTGTCGTCAACACAAACCAGACCTCGAATTCGTTCGGCCCGAGCAATAATCGCTTCAATGCCCTCTCCAACACCAACTCTACCCGCGGCGCTGAAGACCTAGCGACCAGATACAAGATTT